TAACAGGAGGTTGTCTAACCTTTTCAGGATACAGTATAATATAGATCTCTGTGTAGACTGTAATTGAGTTGGATTTATATAAGATCCACCTGTGCACAAACCCAGGTCAAGATAATTATTAAAAACATATGTATAAAATCCCATAAAATATAAAAAATTGGACATAAAAACATTTTTTCTGGACCTGGATTAAGTTCAATATTTCCAATGACTAAAAAATATTAAACAGAAGTCTTAAAWGTTGTTTCCGACTGGATAAAACAGATACAATTCCAACACTCAGAAGGACACAAACCTTGTTGACATCTGCTCAGGTAAGCTGAAAAACAACTCACGTTGTTTTGRTCACATTGTTCTTTGGTCTGTGTTAAGATTTGCAACTTATTACAATCAGTATGTGTGTGTGGATAACTGGGAAATAATCTTACTAGCTGAAACATCATCCCTGTAATCGCTCTGGTTCTCCAGAAAACATACTTTCTGGTCTGAAGGTTCATATGTATCCTGAGATGCATTTTTCCAAAACCGATATTGTATAACGATGCTTCTTTGTTATCATTACAACAAAGTAGACTATAGCTGTCTTTCCATTGACCATGAAAATGTGCAAATTAGAATTTCAAAAATATATTTGCTCAATGGAAACATGTCAATTTCGAAAAAAAAATAKGTTTTTCGACTAAATGTTTTTGCGCTAGGATGAGGTGGTATTTCGTCCATATCGAAATTGGTGTTTTTCGCAAAACTGCAWGGAAACACTTTTTTRGCATCATGGGAGATACGTGATCAACAACCGGCTGTTTCTACTGGTGAAAAAGATGATGACGAAGAAGATAACAGGAAGTAGAAGTAGTAGTAATATCACAGAAGTAGTATAAAATAGTAAACTCACCGACTACAATTTCCCAAAAACACAGCATACGTAGCCGCTCCCAAGTAGGGACTTGTCTCTGGAAAGCCTCGATAAAAGACGCCGACGTGTCGCGGTAGCAACATGCTGTGTGTTTACATCC